TCCTGACAACAATCTTAGAAGGTGGGTGCTATGACTATCTCCCCATTAAACAGGTAAGTAAATTGAGGTCCCCAGTTGCTATGCCACGCAGTGGAAAGAATGCAAACAAGCTGGAACACGAACAAGGCCGTCTGGCTGCACAGCCTGTGTGGCAGCCACCCTGCCATATTCTTTTTCATGAACATATACCTAGCTGTATGTGCAACATTCCCAACAGAAATACCCATGAGATCGGTCAAATCTCAGCAGTAAAACACCTGAAGTTCACAGGGGAAGGCACAGTTGAAATATGAGAGGACATTTCACCTCCACTTTATAGCCCCTGTATCGATATCAGTCAGCATCATAAAGCACAGGTGTGTTGGGGTGCCCTATGAAGGCAGGTGGCTGCGTGTGTGCCGTTCACACCTACCTCACCCAGTGTGTCTGAGCACCAGTCCTATCTACTTGGCTGTACAGACTCTCCCACGAGGAGCTGGCACAGAATGAGAAGTGTGAGGGCAGGAGAGCTAAGCGGTGACCCCACCTCCGGATCACGCGCGGGGCCTGCGTGCCGCCTGGGTGACCACCCACTAGACTCACCAGCCCTCAATGTCCCCCTTGCTCCCTTTCCCTGTCTTCCAAAAGCACCGACGACCGGCCATTTCCATCTGCTGCCCCACGGTGGAAGCTGCCTGCTTGAATCTTACTTATTAACCACACGTAGATAGGGCAGACTGCGATTACAGTGCCAGTGGTTGGGAGCCCAGTATCTCTCCTCTTCCCACGTACCTTACCCTGAGAATTGCTTTGTACTTGCCCATTGCCATGTGGTGGTGTGTCTTTAATAACCATCAATAAAGATAGGCCTGGGAAAATGCGCACACTCACAGCCTCCTCTGAATTCCCCTGATTGCAACAGAGCAGAGTTGTCTGCAGGGGTATGCGGGTGGCCCATAGGCGGTCACCTGGACAGTCCTTGATTCAGCCACCAAAGAAAATTTAGAAAAACATGCTAACTCTCTCAGGGTTCCTTCAGTCACCGATACAAACTATTTCTTAAAGTCCAAGTTCATTCATGCACTTATTCCCCAAACATTTGGAGGTACCTACTCTGTGAACGTTCTCTTCATGTGGTTCCACCAAACCCCATGAGGGTATTCGTAGCTTCTTTATTAGAGAAGCAGTGGAGACAACAAACGTGGGAAGGGGGGGGTGGGTGTTGATATAAACCTATGATGTCATCATAGATGAACAGTGTTTGTGCAGAAGGCAGGGATGGAAGCAATTGTCACAATAGGTGTGTGATTCTGCCTTGCACACAGTAGGTATTTAAAAATAGTGATTGGGCAGGATTAAGTTGCACAGACATAGAAAGTAGATGGATATCCCCCGGGCACAAGGAGATCAAATACTGGAACCTGAGTACTTGGGTCCCTACGTGACGGTGGGAGCCTTTGGAGATGAAGGCCACAGCTGGATCTGTGCGTGATAAGCACAGCTTGGCTCATCACACAAAGCCAGCAATGCGCAGGGACCTTATCAAGGGCCCTGGCCTCAGGTCGGCCAGGCACGTGGCAGTGTGCTACAGGAAACTTGCCGTCCCAGATCTCGCTCAGATTTCAGCAGAGGCCAGCCCACGGAAGTGCGGTCCCACAAAGGGAGCGACTCTGCTCCCGCCTTCACATCATGTGTGCACACTGAGAGGGCCTGGTGGCGGGGGAGATCCACTGTGCAGAGAGCTGCCCACAGCCCTCTCTGGGACCACCACCCTCAGACAGGCCAAGCAGCAGGATCAGTGCCCCTGGTCCACTCCCCACCGTCGCCCAGTGCAGAACCAAAGGTCTTGTTAGGGAGAAGCATGGCCGGCGCCGCGGCTCACTAGGCTAATCCTCCACCTTGCGGCACCGGCACCCCGGGTTCTAGTCCCGGTCGGGGTGCCGGTTCTGTCCCGGTTGCCCCTCTTCCAGGCCAGCTCTCTGCTGTGGCCAGGGAGTGCAGTGGAGGATGGCCCAAGTGCTTGGGCCCTGCACCCCATGGGAGACCAGGAGAAGCACCTGGCTCCTGACATTGGATCAGCGCCATGCGCCGGCCGCAGCGCGCCAGCCACGGTGGCCATTGGAGGGTGAACCAACGGCAAAGGAAGACCTTCCTCTCTGTCTCTCTCTCTCTCACTGTCCACTCTGCCTGTCAAAAAAAAAAAAAAATTTTTAAAAAAAATTGTTAGGGAGAAGCAGCAATGCGGGTTCCAGAACCTGGCCAGGGCCCTCGGGCACGGGCCTGTTCTTTCCTTCTGAGATCTTCCCAGGAAGTCTTGCAGAGGACATGGAGTGCTGAACCCAGTGCCTCTGTCCCAGCTCGGCGGAGCCCAGGCACTCACCCAACAGCCCATCTCCTTGGTAAACACGATTCCTTCCCTTGCTGTCTCCGTCTGGTTTTCCTCCCGCCCCTCCTAATCCCTTCCCCCAAGGATGTGGCCTCTGAGCTGTGATGTCCTGTGTCAGGTGTCAGACCGCTCCCTTGTCCTGGAGATCTTCCTCTGGCCCCCGGCTCTCCCCGAGAAAACAAAGTTGGTTCTCCTGACCCCCAACCTCCCTGCCCTACCTTGTCTGTTTTCCAGGAAGACCATCATCTATCCACTTCCTGTGCCCCCAATAGCCAAGAGTCCCACACTGGCCACACGAATTCTCTCTCTCCGCCCCTGAGCTCGCCACTGCAGCACTTCCGGTCTAACTGATCTCGGTCAGCAGGTTCCATAGGACAAGGCACTGTAGTGGTCACAAAAAGGGCTTTGTCAGCTGTTGGGTTCTGCCAGGAAACGGAACAGGTACCTCCAACAGCAGGAAAGACCTGGAAGTCCCGCCCACCCTAGAACCTGCCAGGGTCCTGGGCAGCAGCTGTGGCCGCTGCCTGGGCTGCCTTCTCTTTCTCTCTCTGCCCGACATGTAGAAGGAAAATGCTTTTCTCATGCTCTCTTGCTTCCTAAATGTCCAGTCTGCCTGCACCGTGTCTCTGTGCTCTAACCCCTGCCTGTGTTCCCAGCTAGGGCTCTGCCACTGAGAGGTTGGCATCTGTGCAGCCCCGCTTCCGCCGCTGCACCTGTAGGCTCCCTCAGTCTTCCCATCAGCGCTCAGGTTAGGAAAACAGGCTGGGGACTACAAGGAAGAAGAGAGGACATGCACCCGCCTTGACTGGGAGGCAGGCTGCCTACCGTGCAAGGCCCCGGCCAAAGGCTTCCTGTCTCCTGGAACTCGGAAACCACTGAGTTCCCATCTTTCCCAGAGAATCCAGGGCGAGGAGCACATGGAAGAGAGTGTCCCAGCGCGCAGCCTCTGTGGTCTGCCAGCGTCACTCACCGGTGGACAGCTCGGCTCCTCAGGGGCACTCTTCATCTGCCGTGGCAGTGTTAGTCATGGCTGGAGATGCCATTTCAAAATCTTGTCCTCCTCTACAGGTACAGCGCGGAGAGACTGGTGGTGGGAAAGGTGAGCCGAGTTCTGGCTTTGCTGTTTCCTCTCTGGGGAAGCTGTTGGCGCCTGGGCTCGGTTTCTACATCACTGAACCAGCAGCCCGAGTGAGCCCTTATAGCCCCCCTCCTGGCTTCCCCAGCCCTCACCTCTCTGCAATCTGTGCCACAATGCAAGGATGGTAATGATAATTTCTTAAATCAAAAAGAATTTAGTTACTCTGAGAGGCAGATACATGTGTGTGTGGGAGGGGAGACAAAAAGCTCTTATCTACTGATTTACCCCCACCACCACCACCACCAAATGCCAGCAACAAACAAGGCTAAACTAGGCTGAAGCTGGGGCATGGGAACTCAGCCCAGGTCTTGCACATCGGTGGCAGGAATCCAACTACTTGAGCCATTGCTTGCTGTCTCCCAGGCATATCAGCAGGAAGCTAGAACCCGGAGCCGAGCCAGGACTCAAACTCAGGGATGCTGGTAGGGAATGATATCTTAGCCCACCCCTGCTAATTACAATTTAAAAAGAGTTTGTCTCTATTCATCCCAGGTCATGTTCAAGAGCCAAGTTTTATTTAAAAGCTTTTTTTTTTCCTGGCTACCTGCACCTTTTTTACTGTGTTGTGGAGACATTTGGTGTGACGTTAAAGTTTGCGCAGTTTACTGGCAAGCCCAATGGATGTACGTGCTGTGTTTGGGGGGCTAGGCTTCACCCCATGAGCTGGGCCTGGCTTCACATGCCCCAGACCGAGCAAGCCCTGGGGTGTGTAAGCTAGCACCGCAGTGATCCCTTGGGAATGCCCTCCTTCCCCCTGGCTCCGAGGTTAGGGGTCAGGTAAGTGTGTGCAGAACCTTCCCACTGCCAGGCCATCCCAGGGCGCCCTGCCCCCACCCCACTGGGAAAGGCTTTCTTGGCAACCAGCCTCCTTCAGAGCGCATTAGAGAAGTGCACATTCCCTTGGTCTCGCCGGCTGGCTCCGATGGCGTGTTCCAGGAGGGGGAGGGGAGGGGCATTGCGGGCTGCTAGTAACCCATGCGGAAAGCGGCGGCTCTCCGTCCCCAGCCCCCAGCTTGCAGCTCGAGGTCCCGGCTTGGCCAGGAATCAACCCAGAGTTTTGTTCCGAAGTGGCGACTTATTTTTATCAAGGATGGAGTGCCGAGCTGCAGTTGTGTCGAATGCCTTCACATGGCAACAGGGCCCTTGCTGCCAGCATTCTGGAGAGCTCTTTTCTTCGCAGTCTTGCCTGTCCCTCTCCATCCATAACCTGGGTGCAGGGCTGTCAAGTGAGGTAGAGCGGAGAAAAAACTGGAAATTCCAGATATCCTTATTAACACGTCTATGTTACATGCAGCCTTTGGTGAGGGCCACAACGCTATCTACTCCATCATAAAAATCCCGAAAACAGCATTGTGGTGGGGGGACCCCCCCCAAGCTGGCTTCTGCCTCCCCCACCCCCGCACCCCAGCCTTGTGGTGCTGTGGGCCCTGGCGCAAGGCTCTTCCCCTCTCTGGGGCTTAGAATACCCAGCAGTAAGAGGAGGTTGCCTGGGTCAGCTTTCCTTAACCTTTTTTGGTCACAAAAAGCTTTGCAATTCTGCTGTGAGCTGTGGCCCCTCTGCTCAGGGAAAAAAAAAATGATGCATCTGTTCATTCACGTGAAAAGTGTTTATTAAAATCCTGTTAAATATGCGCATCCAGGCACAGCTTGGAATTCCACTTGTGGGGGCAGGGGTCTTGAGAGGCTCCCCGGGGGCTCGCGCAAGAACCCCTTGGTTATAAACGCTGAGATGAGCGCAGAGGGACTCATCCAGAAAGTCCACGAGGGCGATCTATTAAAAGGCCATAAAACTACCAGTCAGGCCGACGCCCGCGGCCGGAAGGAGGCAGCCAGGCAGTCATTATGAAGGTGCTCTCCAGCTTCCCGCCCCTTGCCGGTGCCCCCACCCGGCACGCGCAGGCGCAGGCAGACACGCATGCACAGCCCGCCTGGAATGTGCTGCTGCTTGGGCTCAGACTGCAAGAACCTGGCTGCAGCCCTGGCGAGACCGCGTGCACGTCTCTCCTCTCCTGGGCTTTATTTTTCTCAAGGTCTCTGAAAGGGCTGTGATCAGGTGATACGTGTGGGACGGCTCCCGGTACAGGTGCGGAGCAGGTCCTGGGGGGGAGGAGAGAACCCGCCCTGTGTGTACTTACTCCAGGCTCTTTCAATAGCCCTCCCAGGATAGCTGTTGGCAAGGCAGCTACCACGTCTCTGGCAGGCTGCAGGGAATCTGAGTGTGAGAAAGTCAGTCAAGCGGAGGAAAGGGAGAAAAAAAAAAAAAGCTTTGCATCCTCCGGCAAAATACCTTTTTTCTTCTTTGGTTCTTGCTCTGTCCTTTCTGTAGCTTTAAAACAAACCCACAGACCATTCTGATACCTAGGGGGCAAAGGCGAGTCTCACTAGCCATGCAGTTATTTGTTTTATGGCTTTAAAGCTAACAGGTGACGCAATCAGAGCTAGAAACCACCCTCCACTGCAGGCAGTGGGGGTGGGGAGCACTGGGAGGAGGTGAACCCAGGAGCCGCTGGTTGCTGCCTATAGGGGAGGGTTCATTGTGTGCTGCTGATACCACTGAGGAACAGAGCTGGGACTCCTTCCTGCTGCCTTGGGAGAGCCAAGAGGATGGCTGGAAAGGGATTTCTGCACCCCCAAGATCCAAAAGTCATCTGTTGGCTGAGGGAGCTCACTGCCCTTCGCAAGGGGTGGACACGGTGCCAACTTGGCCCTGCTTTCTCGGCTCAGGACGAGGACACCGCAGATCTTCTATGAGCACATTTGCAAGAAACTTGCTCCTTGAATGGTTATGAAACAGGGGACAGAGAGAGCATAGATTTGATTTGATTATTTATGTTTTGCTCCCACACAAGCTCATGGCTGAGTTTTGGTACTTGAGACCTCTGTCCCTGTATCTAAAAACGCACGTGTGAGTGTCTGGGTGACGTGTGCCTTCCACCTATCTACTCACTCCTAAAGTGGCAATAAGTGAGCTGTTGGTTAACCGATCGTGCGGCTACCGCTGGCCCTGTCGTGAGAACCTAACTTGGCTGATCCCATTCTCCACTCACACTCTGGGTGTCAACTCCTGGAGGGACAACAGAATCAGACGGAAAAGGCTCTTGGACTGGAAGGGACAGGGTGGCACGAGGGACTGGTCAGCCAGGGCCCAACAGTGGACAGCTGCCCAAGTCTGCGCGGAGCTTGGTGGAGGAAGCAGGGGTTTTGAAAGGCTGGGGTGGGGGCAGGGGCTGCAAAGGGTTAACCTGCTTCCCTGGGAAGGGTTCATCTCCTTGGAAGAATCTGGGTCAGTGTACTTGTGCAGTTTTTTAAAAAGTCAGCCGCTGCGTAGAAGCATTTTAAGAAGCTTGCAGAGTTGACGGGAGGCAGGGCCGAGAGCAGGGCAGCCAGCTTCCCAGGCTCACCGCCGCTCGCCAGGCGGAGTTCAGACACACAGGAAAACCCCACTTTTTGCAAAAGCAACAGACAATACTCTGTCATCACCACTTCTCCATCTGTTCACAGTAAAACAGAAAAGTCCTGCCCTATGGGCCCAAGTTGCTGGTCAACAAAGGAGGCATCGTTCATCATTTCTTCAGAACATGATAGGGCATAGCCCACTCTGCAGTGTGTTCAGAAAACACAAAAAGTCCCAGAGAGCAGTGCAAGGGGCAGGAATGAACAAACCCAGCCTGCAATGAGGTAAGCGTTTGGCTGCAGACTTGAGGGCTCTCCTGCAAGGTGGAAATGAGGCTTAGAAGATTAAATAGAGCCAGAGCCACAAGGATGCCTTAGTCAGCCGCCAGGTGGAGGGGGGCGACGGGGAACACTGCAGCATGGGGGACCCCCTGGGTGGGGTACAGGCAATGCCCAGGTCAGCTGGAGCCGGCTAGCCAGGTGCTTCCCAGGGAGTGGCCGTCTACACCTGCCACCATGGAACCTTCTGGTCTGGCCTCAGTGTTCCTGCACACTCTTGCCAGAGCCGTCTTCCTCAAGGGCAGGCACCCTGCCGCCTCTTTGCCTGGAGCACATTTCCTGGCTCCCCACTGTCTAAAGCTACAGCCCCCTGGCAAGGCGTTTAAGGGTCTTGGAGCACGGTGTCCACACACTGGGCTGCAGGCCACAGTCCCTGAGTAAGGCCTGAGAGGTGCTGGTCTCCTCCTCAGCCCCATGACACAGCACATTTCCAATGTGGCAGGCAGGCCTCCCTGTTTTTCAAGGGATAGGCCACCTCCTCCAGGAAGTTTTCCAAGGTGCTCTAATTTACAAGTAATTTAACTCTCAAACAGCCACAGCATTCTGCCTCCATCTAGAAACGAAACCGTGTCTGCAGGACTGGGGCCTCTCGGAGGACTCCACAGGGAAATCCACAAATGTCAGCTGAACTCACAAGCCTTATCTGTCCCGGGGTTGGGAGCTTCCTGCGGGCCATACCCTCTGACTCTTTCCTGTAACACCCCCTCGCTCGGCCCCGCGCCTTGCAGACCAGCTCCAGCCTTGCGGCTGTCCCTACAGGTGTGGTCTGTCCTGCAAGCCCCAAAAGGGGGAATGCAGGCAAGCCCGCAGGGTCAGGGAGCAGAACCTCAGGGTGTGCCCGCCTCCGCCGCTCACAGCCACCTCCGTGCACACTGGCACTGCCTCCCTTGTCGTGGTAATCCAGGGCTTAGCACAGTGTCTGGCACTGAGCGCGCGCTCCCTACTGAACGCGAGGGGCTCGCCCAAGGTCAGTGGAGTCAGGAGCCGCCTAGCCGCACCAGGGGCGGATCTGGGGGAATCATTGACAACCTTATCTCCGCGGGGAGCTCGGGGGGAAGGAAGGAATGAAGTGTCAGAGAAGTGTGTGCCAGGCCTCCCGGACGCGCGAAGGGCGGGGGAGGGGGCGAGGGGGGGCGACATCAGAGGAGGCGCTGGGCTCCCAGGCCGCCCCGAGCCGCAGGCCGAGCTCCTGACGGCGGTGGGGTGGGGACACGGGGTCGGCGACCCGGCCGGCCAGGCAGACTCCGGAGGCGGCGGCCGGCCTGCCGGGGCCGTGCGCGCCGCCCGCCCTGCCCGCGCGGCAAATCCCCCAGGGAGGCCGCCGCCAGAGCCCTGGCGCTCCCGGCCCGGCGCCCGCCACGTGGCACCCGGCGGCGGCGGCGGCGGCTCCTCCCGGCGCGCGGCCCGGCCA